TTTAAAAATTTTGGTTCTGCTGAAGTCTCGTTCTTTATGAAAAATACTTAGTGTGCTGCAAACTAGTGCTATACAAGAACTCTAGATACGCGGGTATTGAGCACTGCAAGCAGCTCGATACTCGTTCGCTGCCCAACTGTTCGAATTTTTGTTTGAAGGTTTTCAATTTCAATTTTATTTGCCAAAATATTTTTAGTGTTTCAAATGATATTTTGACTTTGCATAAATAAATTTAAAATTATAATAAAAAATCTGATAATAAAGTTAGAATAGTTGTTCGGATTGCTTGAAAAAGCTCAAATTGTTCCAGTTGTTGCTCGAAAATTTTCGCACAATGAACCATGAAAAAGTTCGATTACTCATTGCTCAAATGATCGAGCTGCTTGAATATGTTCAAACCAAATATTGTATATAATAGGCCTCCTTTACCTCCTGAAGCGTCTATTTTAGCCTATAAAAAATATAAAAAAATCACTCCTCGGACAATAATAATTTTATTAGTAATTATAATTTTTATTAATAATTTTTGTTAGAGCTCCCTGATATAGTACATATGTATGTACATATGTAGATAGCTTTTCCAATAAGTGTTGTTGTTTTGATATTCATAAAAAATGGCATTTTTAGAGATAAATGATCAGATATAGGTGAAGATATGCCATTAATAATGGAAAACAATATCAGTCAAATGGCTTACGGGCCACCAAATCGCAAAGTGGCTGCTATATGTTCTCAATAGCTTCACGAATTCCATCTTTGAAGTCTTGAATCGAGTAAATTTCAACTGAAATCAAAGAAAGAGGTCCCAAGGTGTTAAATCACAACATCTCGGTGGCCAAATGCAATCACCTCTTCGAGAGATAGCACGTTCCGGACACTTTCCTTTACCGGCTATGAAAAATCCGCCGAACTATAAACCACGGAAAAATTTATACGTTAAGGAAAGAGAAGTCTTTCAACAATAAATCTTGGCTTTTCCGTGCCCCTGATGCGACAATTTCGCTTATTGACATAGCCGTCGAGGTGGGATCAAGATAGTTTTTTCGATGAATTTCCGGATAATTTTCTTGCCATTCAAGAAACGAACCAGCAGAAACATGGTATAGTTGATGATCGACCGGCTTGAGTTCTTGTGTAAACTGAACTTTATAAGACCCAAGGTTCTATGCAAAATACGGTGTAAAAACCTTTATTTAATGACAAGGAATGACGAGGAGTGGATAAAACTGGATTTCCCCCAACACCTTGGTCTACAGCAGCAATATTCTCGGTGGTTCTTGAGCGACTTGCACGTACTTTATTCTTCACATCCGTTACTTGTTCCAACAGCTCCTTTTTTTGCCACATTTTTTTTCAACCTTATTTCTGGCGAAATTTTTATTGGTCCAATGTCAAGAAATTACAGCTTCAAAAGTGACGTCTACCGGAATAGCAGATTATTCAAAGTAACACCTCTTATTGGAAAACTCCTTATATAAAATATTTTTGAATATATCAATATCCATCCTCTGTAGGGTAGACCTGCTTGGTAGAATCCCATACAATTTACACCCGCTAGATCTTCGGATGTGCTGAACTGCACAATCTCCAACTTCTGCTTCGACAATCTTTTCTCTGCAAAAATACCAGACAATAATGATTGGGGAAAGACAAACGTCCTTCTGTGAAATCCAATCTCGGATGCTCAGAGTCGATATAGGCCTGAGCCCACCTGACCACCTGACCACCAACTGATTGCATTTCTCACATCGCAAAAATGTTATATCTGCTCGAGTTTCAAGAAATTATCGTCTATATGTACCAGTGAGTCTGTATACCAAAAACTGTGGGACCTGTTTGCTTGCCAACAGACGAACAGATGGGTGTGGCTCAATCAACTCGACTTGTCATTCTGACTTGATCGGCTTCTGATACGTATATAATTTGGACCAAAGTAACTAAACTATTTTATGCATATGATAAATATAACAGGTATATACGAAGTGTATCCAGAAAGTAAGTATTTAAACGAGGTGAGCAGCTCCTTTGTAAGATTGGCTGGGCGTGGTCTGGCATTGTCGTCCAGCAGACAGACCACTTTTGTCTGAACGGCTCCTCTAAATAAGATGACGCTGCGCATTTCGTACTTGGCTAGAGACTAAATTGAAATTGTCTACGATACGTGTTGCCTTGCTAAACTATCGCGTTGCCAGAATTACGTAAATAAAGTCCTTACCGCCGTGAGAGCCTCCGTCCAACTACTTTCTGAATATGCCTTTTATTTGGAAATTGTAGAGTTTGAGGTTAATCTCTTTCTAATTTCTTTCTAGTCAAGAATAGGTTTCATGACATTTTTTATGCTGTTCAATTATCGCCTAAACCATTACTTTTATTTCATATCACAATTGTAAGTTCTAATTTGTAGATTTTTCTATTTAAAGCGAGGTAAAATTATTATGAGAATTTAATTAGATTTCCACATTTTATTTGTTATGTAAAAGTATGACTGCCTCTTGGCTGAAATATAATTCAAAGTAACTAAACTAATCAGAGAGAAATTGCAAAATCAACTACGACACACACACACACAGAGACACTAACACACTTGCACTAAATTAACTGGCATGTGGCAGAGTTTGTGTGTACTTTTATACTTGTCTTTGTGTGTAGGACATCTGTTGACATGAACCACAGTTAATCGGATTTCCGGACGCACACACTCGGCACTCACTGCCGGTTAGCGGGTAATTGTGTCGTCGTCGAGCAGCAACTGAAGCAACGGCGGTAGCGCCAGTTGGAATTGCGCAGTGAAATCGGTGAAATCAGTGCAATCAGTGCAATTCAATGCTATGCTACGCCATGCCATACCATGCCATGCTATGTTATGCCATTTAATGCACCGCCATATAGTAATTATTGCAGTAAATCGAAAATAGCGGTTTCCACCGCAAAACTGCACCGACAGAGAGGGTGCAACTTCTTTAAATGCCAACAAACATGCAACGAGAGCCAATTAAATAAAACAGCAAAAACACAAATAAACAATTGCAACTGTAGCCGAACAGATGGGCAAATGTGTGAAGGGCAATGCAGCGAAAAGCAAATGCGAAATAGAATTAAAATGCAAACATAGTAAAAGTGGATGAAGCCAAGAACGGCGATGCCAAGGCACAGTTACACCGAAGTGGAAGGAAGGAAGGTGGGAGCAACGGCAAGTTGATGAAATCGGTGAAGCAAACAACCGCAAAAGACATTAGCGCACTGTTGCAAATAAAGGTCGTTGTTTATGTTGTTGCTGTAAGTCGGAACTCTGCAGGTGAAGTGTGGCATGTCTGCGAGGGCAGACGCTACCACGGCTCAGCCGTCGTGCTGTTAAGTAATGCTGGGAATGCATGCCAAATGGAAATTTGTTGCATTTTTCCACGAACCCCAATGGCGCGTTCCAACACTTTAGATGTATCGGAAAATTTCGCGTAAAATCCTGTATATACAATAACGATGGCTTCTTTGGCTTAATCGCTTAGCAAATAAAGGAGAATTGATGTTTACACTGTAATCAGTTGTTAAAAACAGAAGGAGCATTTGAAAACATAAAAATAAATATTGAAGAAAATACCAAAGAAAGGAAGGAGGGACTTAAAATACTACTTATTTTAGTTTCGAGTATTTCTTGGCTTGAAGTTCCAAATCTTAAAATTCGTTAAAAAAGATCGAAATGCAAAAATTTATTATTCCGTACATATACGACGAACGCTTTCATCTCACTGTCCGCTGAAAATCATCCTCCCCGTAACTACTTTTTTATGTTTGAAAATAGGAAAAAGACACTGATCATTTACTGTAAATCGAGTAGCTTCTAAGGCATCCCTCGTAAAGCAAGCGGTGTGACCGGGTATGTTGTTTAAAGAAACAGCAGTCCGCGCGATAACTTGCCACGTCTCTTCTGTACGACTGCTTCACGCGCCTGACAAATTTCATTCAAAAAATCTTGACATCTCTCCAATTACCTTCGTGTATACTTCCGTACTTATTCATTATTGCTCTATAGACTTTTTCTATGGATAGTTCTTTCACTTGAAAGTTGCTAGTCAAATTTAGCAACTGTAAAGAGAGAGAGAGAGAGAGAGAGAGAGAGAGAGAGTGATGTTGAGATCCACAGAGTATATCTCCTTATTCGTCGCTGGGGATTGCGAAAGTGTCTTCGTCCACTTCTTTAACTCTTCGTCATTCACATCAGGGGTGTATTGGTATGAGTTTGCCACGTGAAGACTGCTCCTCAAAAAATTTAAAGAGTTAGGAGAAAATCACGTGAAATATTCTGCTCAAAAAGAGACTATATCATCAAAGTAATAACATTAATAATAACTCGGAGTTACTTATTGGAAATGCTGAAGTAGCTACGCAAGGAATGTTGAGAAGCATACCATCACTATACATTAAATCAATGAAGTTAAATCAATGCGCAGTCTAAGATGATGTGGCGTTGCAACAAGCTCTAATTTGAATCTAATTTAGCCTTTTTTTTAGTTAAACAAAATCGTTTAAAATAAAAACTTTCGTCCCAAAATCATAATTTGTTGAAGAAATACAATTATCTCTCTCTCTCTCACACTCACTTTACGTTGGCTCCTCTTCCTGTCATTCACTCCATTCGTTAAAATACTTTTTTTTCTGGTGATTCAAAATGATCTGCCTGCCAAATGGATTGTTTGAATAAAAGAATATTATTACAGTCATAAGTATGGGCATACGTACGCATGTATGTGTGTATGAGCGAAGTTTACCACATAAATCAAACCGAGCCGACGGCATAAAAGCAATCATGTCTGTTGAAAATATGGCAATGTAACAACAAATTTACAAAGAACAAAATATGGAAAAGTTCACAGACGCACAAAATCGTAAATATGCAACGTTATGACTCGTCTACTGAGGCAAATAAAGTTACAAACAATATTAATTTCCAGTTATCATTGTAGGTTATGTACAAACATATATATGTATACGTATTGGGCACTCACCTTAATCGTGGCAATTCGCAGTAGACCCAATCCGTGACTTCGTCCAGCCTGACCTCTCTGTGTGTATTGGCCAAATCAGATTTATTGCCGGCAATTACAATTGGTATATCCTTTGGGGACAAAGGTACATTTAGTAGTTTATCAAAAGAGAGAGAAAAGAATGAAAAAAAAATTCAAATAAATTGGTTTGTTTTAAGGTTTTAAAGTTGAATGATGAAAAAGCTGATGACTAATAATAGTTAGTAAAAACATCAAGGAAACATATAGATACATATTTTATACAATTAATGTGTACAAAAAAATAAAATAAAAAAATAAAATTAAAATAAAATAATTTATAGTAAAATAAAATAAAATAAAATAAAATAAAATAAAATAAAATAAAATAAAATAAAATAAAATAAAATAAAATAAAATAAAATAAAATAAAAAAAAGAAAATAAAATAAAATGCAATAAAATGAAATAAGGTAAAATAAAAAAATCCAGTAAAATAAATCAGAAATAGAAATCAAATAATTAAATAAAAAAAATAATAAAATATTATAAATATAAAATAATAATGTGAAATAAAAAATTGTTGTGAAATCTGTTGGTTAGAGCTGACAATACTGTTACATGGGTAGATATTTAGTATTTCACCACAAAACAATGAATTTGTAATACTTTGCTACATTTTATATATGACAAATGCATGCTGGACAGACCTCACTTGTCTTTATTTTCACTTACATTTAGTGTTAGTATTCTTATTTGCGCTTATGTCGCATTAGTTTTCAATGTAGTTAACAAATTGTTTTACTTATCACCAAATGTCACGCCAAGCAGTGTTTTATACATGCCAGGCTGTCGTAAGCAAACAATTTGTATATATAAATGAAAACAAATAGATTTTTTATAATAGAAAAGAATGCAAAACATAAAAAAAATTAAATTAACACAAATGCTAAAAAATATCATATAAATAAAACATATTGGAAACTTAAATTCATTTGTGTTTATGTAATGCGCTTGTAATCCCAAATGAGTTTTATATACTTTTCGTTCGTGCCAATGACGGTTTATTATTGAAATTTTAATGACTTTTTCACACCGAGAATATTTTTCGACACAAAAATGTGATTGCATTCGAGGGAAAATGCAAGCACACACATACAAATTTAAAGTTATTTTCAATACTGCTTTCATGATTTATTTTTTATTTATTTCTTTATTTTTAAATTCTATTCGTTGTGTTTTTAACTTGTAAATTGAGTGCTTGCAGTTTTTAATTGCTTTCTGTTATGAAATTGTGGTATATATATGATGCAAATATATGTAGCGTTGAATGCAACAGATATTTACAGATCTGGTTGTGTAACATTGTGTAATATGTTTCAGCAGAGTTTGAATTTCCAATATTTTTCATTTCATTTGTTTATATTTTATTATTAATATTATTATTTAAAGTTTTTTACTAATGGATTTCGAAAAATTTCAATGAACTTTTCGTAAAACAAATAAATTTAAAGTTCATACAACAAAGGGACAAAAAAAATTATTAAAATATATACTTTATGCGGGCCAACACAAAATTTATCTCAACGCTAATTCGACAAAGTTTTCGTCAAAAACTAAGTTCAACCACTTTTTCATTTTTTGCGGTAAATATAAGGATTAAGTGCATTTTTTACATTTTTTACGAGTTTTTTTTTCATAAAATATTTTTTTTTTTTGCTTTTGATTTTTAAAAATTCACATTTTTCATAGAATTTTACATTTTTTCACTGTCAAGCTTACCTGATAATCTGCGCGCTGTTCACGAATCTCTTCAAAACACTGTTTGACGCATTGAAAACTTGACGCTGACGTTGACGCATAGACCAACATGAAAGCGTGTGCAGTGGCAATAGACAGACGTCGCATAGCGGGAAATTGCATATCGCCAGATGTGTCCAAAATGTCAACCTAAAAGTAAAAAAAAAAAATAGAAAATCCAATGGGTTCTTTTGTATTGAATTTATATTTTTTACACTCAAAAATAGAAATATGAAAATTTTGCCAAAAACAATAAGGTCTAATAACGGGAATTTTGCTTGTTTCAGTTAGAAATTTATTGAAATAAATATCCAAAATTAAACTACGATTGATTTTACACTTAAAATTTTAATTAACCACATAAAAAATAAACATATCGTTCAATGAAATACAATAAATATATTGTGGTACACCACGTCGTATGAGTGACATTTACTAAGAGCATAGAAGTACAATTTTTTCTTTCAATCAGTTGAAACAATACAAAATAAATTGGTAATATTATGTAATAAGCGCAGCAATTACATAATTCCTACAAACAATACATGTGTCTCTACACACATACATACAAACACACATGGATGCATACATTTGTTTGCCACAGGCATTAAATTATAATTTGTTATTTTATTGCAATTTCAAAGGTAAAATAATTAATTGCTATGTAATGTTGCTTCCAACTGTCTCTCCCTCGCTTTCTATCCCTCTCCTACAATCAAATTGCACAAGTACAATTATTTTTCATCGTGTTTGTTTGCTTGCCATTGCAACTATTTGCATTTACTTACTTGAGTTAGAGCATTTTGTCGTGCATTTGTGCATGTCTGTCCGTGGCCTTGAGAATATTGCAATTAATAACAATTATGATGAACTAATTGCAATTATGTCGACATTCTATGATTTTAAATGCCATAAAGGCAACATAAAGTATATATATATATATATATAGATATTTGTTTAAGTAAATATATAGTACATATGTAGTAAATATTGTATTTACATAGAGCACTAAGAAGCGTTGCATTGTGTGTACTATAAATTTGAGACTACAATTTTAATTGATATCAAATTGCATTACAGCACACTTAAGGAACAAAGAAAGATGAGCAAGAAATTTCCTTACGAACGACATACATATCTAAATAAGCATGTTTCATTATTATATGACATTTAATACCTATGTATATACAGCTTTTTGCCCTGCATGACTGAGGGATCAACGCATAACATAAAGCGCTCACAGATGAATGTGAATGACGTAGACATCTGCTGAAGGGGTGTTGGGTTGTGTGGGACAAAGTAGCTTTTCATCAAATATCGTGTTCCCCAGAGATTTGGCTCAATTTTAAAGAAAAAATATAAATTTTGGTGGGCAGACTGGATGGCTTCCAATATTTTATCGGAATCGAGAATTGACCTTCCATTCCATGAAACATCTTTTACATCAAAACTACCGAAAATGAAACCCAAATTGTGCATGATTGACTCTAACAGTATTAGAACCATAAACCCTAATCAATTTTTTAGCCACCTGACCACTGTTTTCGAACTTTTCGAAGTAAAACTGTACTATTTTCTCTTTGAAAGGGAGGGAAATTATTGCGGCAAACTATATATATACGGTGTCGGTGATAGCAAAAGGAATGCATGTTCGATGGAAAAAAATTAAAGTGAAGCTTTTTTCCCAATATATACATAGCGTAATCTATTGGCTCTTAAAGAACGAGAGATATAGATCACTAAAGCCGTCTATTGCAAACATTTCTCGTTTAAAGTAATAATGTTTGAAGTAATAGTGTAGTAATGTAATATTAGGTCAAGTAAAAAGTTGGTTCCGTTTTTTTCCAAGAGACGGCGTTATTGTCCATAGTACTAGTGTTACGTGTCGCATCAGGTTATACCATACGGCGCTGAAAACGTGTTTATGCGCACTGAAAGTTTGCCTTTGACACTTTTTTCGATTGATCGACTCAGCATGTTGTGAGCGCTCGTCAAAGAGGGACACCAGCAAAGAGAAAATTCGCTAAATTTTACAATTTTTCTTCGATCAAGGCGTAAAAGCAGCCAAAGCGGCTGAAAAAATTAATTTAGTTTATGATCCCGATACTGTGAAGGAACGAACAAAAGTGGGTTACTAGGTTCCGTTCCGGTAATTTCAATGTTAAAGATGCACCACGCGTCGGGAGGCCTGTCGTCGAAAATTGCGTTAAAATCATGGAAATAGTGGAAACAGACCGTCACGTGAGCACTTATTTAATTGCCAAAGAAATAACGATAAGCCAGAAAACCGTTTGGAATCAATTGCATAACCTTGGATTAAAAAAGAAGCTCGTTGTTTGGGTGCCCCACGTACTAACGCAAAAACATGATGGACCGAATTTACATCTACGAATCGCTGCGGAGTCGCAACCAAATCGACCCGTTTCTGAAGCGGATTGTGACTGGCGATGAAAAATGGATCACCTACGACAACATCGAGTGCAAACGGTCGTGGTCAAAGCTCGGGAAGCGGCCCAGCCGTGGCCAAGACCGGATTGACGTCCAGGCAAATTGTGCTGTGTGTTTGGTGAGATTGGCGAGGAATCATTTACTACGAGCTGCTCCCCTATAGCCAAACGGTCAATTCGGCCCTCCACTGCCAACAAATGAACCGCTTGAAGGCAGCACTCATCCAGAAGAGGCCATATTTGATCAACAGAGGCCAAATTGTGTTCCATCAGGACAACGCCAGGCCACACACATCTTTGGTGACGCGCCAAGAGCTCAGATGGGAGGTCCTAATGCAACCACCATATAGTTCGGACCTGTCACCAAATGATTACCATCTTTTCCTGTTCATGGCGAACACGCTTAATGGTGGGAAGTTGGCCTCAAGATAGGCCTGTGAAAATTGGCTCTCCGAGCTTTTTGCCAGTAGGAACGCAGGGTATAATAAAGTTTGCATCTCTTTGGCAACAAGCTTACAAACGAAAAGACGCATATTTGACTTAAATCGGAAAAATGTACACAGAGTTATCATATTTTGAAAAATCAATAAAAAAAGAACCGAACGAACTTTTTTCTTGGCCTAATATATTTATAATATATTGTTGTAACGTATACGCAGTGTTGGACGTCAATGAAAATTGAGTTCTTTGTTAAGCTGAAATCCGTTGCAATTTTCTTATACTTTCTATTTAATACTCTCCTTCTCTGTTTCTCTTCATACCTTTCAAATGTACCCTCTTTTTTAAATATTTGAAATTTAATATTTTTATGTGTTTATGTAAAGTGTGCTTATCGTATGAAGCTTATTTCATAAAGAATGGTTATTTGCAGTGGCCGCCTCGCTCTAAAAATTTTACTATGCCTGAATTCTTCTTTTGAGCGATTTAAAAAGTAAAGTTTATATCGGCAAGCCAAAGACAATCGAGTAGAACCTGAATAGATCTTGCTAATTTGTGAAAATCGGCTGAAAATGATCCGAGTTCCTCAATGTTGAAATACCGAAGGTCTAAATGGCGTACCCTGTATATATATTGGATGAGTGCATAAGTTCGTGCCCGATTTCAAGTGCAAACTAAAATTGAAATTTTTTGAAGAAAGCGCTTTTATTAATCAATTATGTATTCGCCATCATGTTCCCAACGTTCAACTAATTTACGGATGCCTGATTCATAGAAATCGCGCGATTTCTAGTTGAAAAAGGGGTCAAGGTGGTTTTTGACGTCTTCCATATTTTTAAATTTTTTTCCATTCAAATTGTTCTGCAGCGATCGAAACAAATGATAATCAGAAGGTGGAATGTCGGGTAAATATGGGGGATGCGGCATGATTTCCCAATTCATCTCCTTCAGTTTGGCCAGGGTCGGTTTTGCAACATGTGGCGCCTACTGTTTTTCCTTTGCGGAATTCGTATAACATAATATGACGCAGATGATCATTTTCGTTGTCCATCTTCCTTGCGTCTTTTCACTAAGCAACTTAAATCAAAATGAAGTTATTTTATGCTTGATTTACAGTCCGGACTGTCACTTTTCCAACGATATATGTATAATATGTATTTATTTCACGAGCGCCACTCTCAAACAATTCGAACGGCATCCAGCGGAAACGGGCACGAACTTATGCACTCATCCAATATATAATTGACGCTTTATAGCCGCTGAAACAATTTTTGGCCGAGTGACTCCTTTTTTTCTAACAGAGCGCTGATAATATTAAGTGTGTTTAAATTTTGAAGATTGAACAAAATATAGAAATTTAAAATATTAAAAAAAAACTGAAACGCAGAGCAGCAGCAAAGTCATTTACAAACACATCCTGTCAAAATATGCAGATTAATTACTTGTAGCGGCAAAAGCTGGCTCTACCCGAAGCCCATATCATCATGAGTGTATATGCTTTTGAACGTAGTCTTCTAAAAATTTCCAATTATCCTTTCTAGACATCATAGTAGACATACATACACAGAGAAAACACACCCAACAACACGAAACCACAACTGCAGTCTTAAACCACCGCCAGCGCGCTACTTCCATTGGCAGCCACAACAACAATAACAATCACATTGCAATTTAAATTTTTTTTTGTTTTTTTTTTGTTGCTTGTATAAATGTATTTGGATGTGAGCAATCTTTTTTTTGCCTCCCCACGCGTCATTAATCAAACTTATGCACCCGTTGCATTTGACTCGATTGGGGCTGTTTACATTTGGTTTTGGAGGGGGAATCATTCTCAGACACCGTCGATCATAAATGGCATAAATGATTCATACGGCGCACACCTCTTTTGGGACCGTGCCGAGTAAGTATTCTCCTACTATGCTGGATTTTTTTTCTTAGGATTTACCGATTTCCGTACTCCAGAGACTTTCGCCTTCTCTGATAGATTCGCCTCGCTTTGTTGCGTTCATAGATTTATTCATTCCACCAATTTGTTTTTTAAGCTCATAGCGGCTTAAGCCAATATCTCTGCCTACCGTTCATTATCATCTACTTTCGGCAAATTATCCTTGCCTGAAGAGGTCAAAGTCAAGAGTTTCGGCTCTCAATTTTTTAGTATCCATATTTCTGGTGTGCATGGGTTTTTCTTTTAGGGAGTTTATGAATTCCCTCATGATACCCAGGTGATCACTATGCGTGGAGAGGTCAGACACTTTCTGGGTCGTT